AGTGTCATGCAGTCAAACAAAGCTAGACAATGCTGCAAGATATGGGAATATGTAAAGCACTTCAAAATTCATTACTATGTATCAATGCGACCATGGAAGGTATGTCCAGTTGAAAGTAATAAGGTACAAAAAGTCAATAACTACTTTCTTCGATGTGCAAAGGAGAATGAGTTCAGGGACAAAATTACCTGTCTAAGACAAATGCTTGTCCCACAGATAGCAGCAAGGGTCCAAGGGAAACACCAACCGTTGCAGTGGAACATGGGCAAAGTCCAAAGGTATACAGCTCCCTCGTTCATGTTCCACACAACAGCGTTACTAAGGGCCATAAGATAAGCTCCTCTATGGTGAAGCACGACTCCTTTAGGACTAGCAGTTGTTCCAGAAGTGTACCCTAAAGCAATACTATGCCATTCATCCTGAGGTGGTTTCCACTCATAGTCAGGGTCACCGGTTTCCAGGAACTTTTCATACTCTATAGCTCCTTTCCCCAGAGCATATTGAACAGGCTTTGAATCACAGTTGATATCGGAAATAACAATCATTAGTGGAGGTGGGAAATTCCCTTTAGTGTTGTTTGATAAAATACTTAGAGCCTCCTCTGCTAGGTTATAATAATCTTGGTCCACCATTATAACGGATGCCAATGAATGCCCTAACAAAAAGGCAACTGTTTCGGCATTTAAACGGATATTGACAGCATTCACAACGGCCCCAGTCATTGGGATTCCAAAATGGGCTTCATATAAGGCAGGGACATTTGGTGCTATCACTGCTACCTGACATGGACAAGAATAACTGTAAGAAATACAATTCTCAAAAATCCTATTGAATGTCAATCAAATACAACACATCTATGAGATTTGAGTCATTTTACATGAAGGGCACCCGCTCACATCATCCCGATCAAGTATGTTGGATTACACTTTTGAAATCTCTGAAGTGCTATTGATTCTGTTTTTCTAATATTATTATGACATAGTATTTTCTGAAAGCTTCTAAAAGTCAGTTCGGCAAGGGCTAATAAGAGTTGATTGCTGCCTGAATGTAACTTTTAGTTTTCAGAGAAAATTGCATAGATAGATCTAAGATATAATGCATTTCTACAAATAGGGCCATTATTGTTTTTTCCAGGAAACATGACTCAAACTATCCTAGAAAAGGAACTATTAACTTTCAATCTTTCTTTAAGACTTATTAAATCTTTTTTTAGTAAAAATAAGATTGGCCCTACTTGAGCACATAATCCATTCTGTATTCTTATTAGCAGTTAATTTTGAACCACTTTCACTTGTTTTTCATTCTCTTGGTCACCTTTGAGTCAATACCCATACAAATTTTACTCTAACAGACAGTCAGCCTAAATACCTTTTGGTACTTAATATTTAATTAAACTAACTTCTGGTGAAGAGAAGTTAATTAAAATTTGACAAAAGTTAGTTATTAAATATTGGCAATTTAATCCACAAATTTAATTAAACTAACTTCTATCTTTCCAGAGCTTTATTAACTGAAAATTAGCTTCATTAATAAATTCTCTAATAATTTTGCAAAACAAAGTTTTGCAAAACAAAAACCAATAGATAATATAGACCAGAAGAGTTTACAAACAAAGTCTAAGCCAACATTTTAAATAGTACGGAGTAAATATTTCAAGAATTGAAAACAAATGTCAAGCTTAAAGCACAAAAAATGTTCTCTGAATGAGACAATAAAAAATGTTTTCCTCTGTCAAACAGACATAATGTACTATACTCTTATTTTTCATTTTCAGATTCCGATCAGATTATTTCTTTTTCCTCGTATCATGGTGAATGAACTTGAGGTACATATTCATATATCATACTTACAAACATCAACCATTTGAGGGTAGAAGATACTTCCACAATTCCCTATTCATGTTTGAATCCATAAACACTTTTCAGGGATTCCCTTTCCAATCATGAATATGAAACTTCAAAAGTGCTTTCTAATTCATGAATCTTCACACAATCACACTAGGTGCTTTATATCAATAAGTGCTTGTTTTAGTCAAACTGATCTACTAAACTTAGTATGAAACTTGACAACTTGTTGCTTAAAGGTACTGCATCTTGATTCCTAGCTTTCTTGAAAAAGTATATCCATAAACTGATAAAGAAATGCATACCCTCATACATCAGAGATCATGGATCAACAAAAATGGGTACCTGAGTTAGAAAATCGGAAGGTGGTAGAATTCTCACAGTTGAGTATATCCTACCCACCCACTTAAAAAGAAAAAGAAACAGAACAAAACAAAGATTGTATTCTTGGCATCAAATAACTATTTTGGATTTAAAAACACCATGAAACATTTGATCTGTAGTCTCTTCCATAAAAAGATGCAATCTTTTCTCAGATTTATATACTAAGAAGTAAGAAACTAAGAACTGGGTAGCAGAGTTAGCCGCCTCAGGGCTCAGATACAGGGTAGTCATTTTCATTTTCATTTTCAGTGACCCAGACTATACCTTATACAGATATACACATATTTGATGTCCACATTTATAGAGAATTACAGAACTGTCCCTACTGAAGGATAGAGTCACCGTGATGTACCGTGGTTCCAAAGGTGACGGAGCGTTTGGCGAGAGCGGAGGCCAGACGGCGGCAGCGCTGGTAAGTGTGGAGCCACGTGTACTGAACGGAGCCGTGGACCAGCGATTTCCGGTGAGGGTGCACCGCCGCCGCCCGGTCCAGGAACCAGAGTGGCGTCAGCGCCGTGTAGTTGGCGGCGTTCTTCGGAAGATCGTCAATGTCTCTCTCCATAACTGATGACTATCTCTCTCTGAAACGCAGGGAGATGGGCAGAGGACTTTTGGCAGCTCAGGTGGGAGAAAATGAGAGTTCTCTGAATCTGATACTCTTCTAGGCTTTCTATATATATATATACTATAACTGTGTGATTACTACTACTACAATGAACTGATCTTTTAAAGTGTGTGTGATATCTCTCTAAAGTGGTTTGATTTGTCAAAGCTAGATTAAATGGACTAGGTTCACATTGAACTGTTTTATCTAAAATTACTGTAATGAGTAATTAGGGGTGTTTGGATCTGATTCTTAAAATTGTTTCTACTCCTTCAAGGAATAGAAGCAGAAGTTGGAGGATTTAGGTGAAAATGCAAAAGTGATTCTGGTGTTCTAATTTACTCCTAGAATCAGTTTTTAGAAGTTGAGGGAGATCAGTTTATGAAAACTGATTTTGCTTTTGCTTTTGCTTTAAAAAAAGAAGTAGAAGCAGAATTAGTTTCAAACACCCCTTACTTAGCAATTTTAAAATTAATAGAATGAATTTTATCACTTTTCACTTTGATTTTTTGGGGATGACTCACACAGTCACATTTCTATTGTAGTATCTGTTTTTTTGTTAATGTTAAATGTAACATGAACTGAAATGATTTTGAGTGATCTCCTTTTTGAGAGTGTCATAATATAATATCATCAAAGTGGGGTTAATAAAAATGAAGTTTTTCCTGATATTACTAATAAAAAATCTATGAACAAAATATGACTATAAGTTACTATGTGTAAGTTTTAGGGAATGTTTGCAATAGCTTAAAAAAAGCATTTTTCTACTTTTGGCTCAAAAAAACTAAATTAGTGTTTTCAAGTGACAACTTCTATTTAAAAAAGCGTTCCTCAGCTTTTGTGCGAAAAATGCTTTTTACGTTTTCTATTACACAAAAGTATTTGTTTTACCAAACACTGCTAACTTTTACTTTTCAAAATCATTTTTTTCTCAAACACTATCAATTTTACTAGTAATCATTTTTTCCAAAATCACTTCAAAAAGTGTTTTTTAATCAAAAGCATTTGCAAACACTCTCTTTGAGTCACTATGACTTAACATTTGAATACGATTATATTTACTAAAGTTACTAGAGTGACATCTTTATTCTCTAATATTTGAAATTATTTCTTACGCAATAATTTCACGTGGTTTCACATAATGAAATAGTTCCACATGCTACGATCCACATGGTATATTGGTATCCACTAATTTAATCTAATACGTAGTATAGAATAAAATAATAATAGTATATACGTAGTATAAAGTAGCTACATTTATTTGTGATGCAAAAAATAAATGGAACCTGAACTAGGCGCCGCTTGTGAGATACGGAAGGAGGTTTAATTTGACTTTCTTAGTGTCACTGTTAGTCTATTTCTAAGTCTCGCTCTCCATTCAACAATTTAAATGTTATCCCCCCAATTGCTAATATCGTGTACCCTTTTATGATTGATCTATGCAAACATCAACAGCCGTGGATTAGATTTGTTTGTCCCCAACAAATAAGTACTTGGGCCACTGAATTCAAATAAGTCAATAACAATGTGAAACTTTTATTTTATAGACATTTCTTATTTTCTTATTAGAGTACGTATGAATACTTATTATCATATCATGTTTTAAAAATATTGTCAGTTGTATCACTAATAATATGAAAGTTATGCGGAGTATGTGACTACAATAATTAAGGAGATCAAATGTGATTCCATATACATAGTCAAAAACAATGTTCTAAAAAGGCGCTAGACGCTAGTCGGGCACTAGCTCGGCGCCTAACGCCTAGGCGGCTAGGAGGGCGGCTAGGTGGGGACTAGTCGGAGACATATAAATTGCATTTTTATCTATGTTTTTGCATAAATATGATGAGTAATATTGTATTCTTATGTGTATAAAATACATATATACACATACATATGTAAATAATAATAAAATTTAGGTATATATACAAACATATATAGTCTTTATCTTAATTTACAACTTCATTTCTTTATACTCGGGGCTAAAGTTAAAGTACTTATATCGCTTAGAAAATTTAAATTATAAAACAAAGTAATGTTCAGCGAATCTAGATGACCCAGGTGGCTGATTAGGCGGTCTAGACGGGCAACTAGGCACCATAGGCAGCCGACTAATTCACCTAGACGGTAAACCAATTAGTCGGAGCGCCTAGGTGAAAATCGGGGCGCCCGACGCCCGCCTAGCGCCTAGGCGGGGACTAATCGGACGCCTAGAACGATTTTTAGAACAGAGGTCAAAAATATGAGAAACATATATTGTCAGTTTTAGATTTTAATCATGTTTTGATAATTTCTGGCAACCAATTCAATAAATCATTTAATGTAATGGTAATAACAGTAATGTAATTCGTTCTAGAATGGTTAATTTCTTCGTCTAGGATATTTAAATTTTAAAATGTCAAAATTTAAACTTATGAAGCACTATACCACAAAAAACCTACCGGCAGTCCGCAGCCTGCATATTAGGTTTGATGTCGTGAAACAATTTTCATCAACGATTTCAGAGATTTTAGTGATTTTTTTCTCTCAACTTCAACGAAAAGACATAGGATGGAAGGTGATAAGGTGAGTATAGTGCAAACAATGTCCGGAAGTCTTGCTTCAGTCGTGAAAGGTCGTGGTGACATGACCATGATGACGGCGAGAAGCGGCTTAAGCACAAACGAGTGGAAGCGAGAGTTGGGGGAGATGCGGGTTTAGCGAAGGTTAGAGTTCGGCCGCAATCAAAGATCAATCGTAGCAGTGCTGATGGTCCGACCTCCTCATGACCCACCGTCTTGGATTGTTGGGAAGATTGAAAGTTTAGCTTATTTTTATGTTTCTAGAATTATATGTAGGCCTGTCAATGGGTCGGGTCCGGGCCGGAATGTAGTGTTCCAGACCCGGACCCGCTAAGTAAATAAGGGACCCGGACCCGTTTACCCATCGGGTCTGAAATTTTGGACCCGGACCCGGACCCAACGGGTCTCGGGTCTGGGTTGGGTAGAGCCGCCATTTTTTTTGGAAGATTAGACCCACCAAATATAAACAGAACGTGTATATGAATCATGAATGTAATGCAATTCCACAAACTAGCTACATCTAGATCTCAATCATCCTTAATACGGAGTAATAAGTAAAACGCATCTTTATTTTTTAAAAAAAAATGATGTTCACGTAAGAAACCAGTACTTTCATCCAAACGTATTGAATGTCTTTGATAGTGAAATAAACAAAACTAAAATAGAATATCTCAGTTTGTTTTAATATGGATTAATGGGATACTAGTTTTAGGTATGTATTACTACATTAGTATATGAAATATATATTAATAAAAAAAAATTATAAACGGGTTCGGGTCCTTAACGGGTCGGAATCATATGTACCATACCCGAGCCATTAAAAATAACCGGGTTCGGGTCGGGTCCGGGTCTAGACCCGACCCATTGACAGGCCTAATTATATGGATCAATAAGACTGGTGATAGTTGTGTCAAGCCCGATTCGTGATTAGGGATTCGTGTTGCTTTTTCAGGAGTGATCGTTAATTTGTATGTCTAATGATATGATTTACAATCATAATTGGTGAAAGTTAGTTGGTATCAAATATAATTTTTATTTGATTGAGATAACGATCCTTAAACCAATTACATAAATATAGATGATTTACTTTAAAAAAAAACAATAATAATACTAGTATGTACTATCAATATGATGCTTGCGGAACATAAAAATATCAATATGAACAATTGAACAAAGTTTTATTGTTCACACGGACAAACCGTCAAAGGCTAGAAGCCCACCAGATGAAGCCCATGGGGAAAATCCCACTAGCCTATACGGAGTAATGGAGTATATTTTGCGTCGTACTTCTATATCATATGCTCAAAATTTAATTAAATCTAAAGTTAGTCCTCAATTTGTAAAAGGATGTTAAAACTTGCAAAATAAAAAAGAAACTTTATCACTTCAGAACTTATTAAGTGATAGGTTCAATATAAATAAAAATAAATTGTGTCAGTATGGAGCCAAAATTATTAAAAAAAAAAACACTATGCATTAATCTAAGACCTAAACTAATACTCCGTACGTAGTATGAATTTAATATTTTTATTTTTAAAATTTTTTAAATATTATCTTAAAATTTTAATTACATAAATATGACCAAAATAAAGATGGTTTATAAAAATATGATTAGTTACTAGAGTAGTAATGAAATCATAGTAATTCATATTCAAGTTTTGAACTTAAGTTACCACAACACTACGTTTTATTTTAATGAATAGTAATAATTAAGTAAATAAGTTTTATTTTAGTAATATTCTTGTAAAAAAACCTAAACTAAAAGCTTTTGCGAGAAAAAAATCATCAAAAAGTATAAAATCAAATAAATCAAAATCCATGATATTTTAGGCCGGTCTTAGATTGATAGTTTCAATTATTCGGATCTTGTGTCAATAAATTTTCTTTCAAATTCTTTATTGATAGTGGACCTATCTTTCGGGTTCTACATTGATAAAATTCCAATAGTGGTAAATCAATATTTAAAACATACTTCATTGTTGTAAATCAATAGTAAACTCTTACAAAAAAAATAAAATTATTCAAGCAACATGAATATAAAATCATTTATCCCTAATATGATGTTGCGTATTTAGTCATTTTTATAATTCGAAAAAAAATATTTGAATAGAACTTTCGAAATAACGGTATACTAGTATACCTTTTATTTTCAAAACATATACGGATACCATACCGAAGTAATGAATATACGGACGCTGTCATTAGGGCCCTACAAAAAAACATCAAAATAGGCATGGACTTGGCACGGATTGGGCGAGTTTGACACGGACTGTAACTTATTTTGGCACAACGCCATACCAAATAGCTGGTGACAAAATGACTTCGGCACGGAATTTGGCACGGATTTAACGCATCTGTGCCAAATACCCTACGAGTTTTGGCAAATCTGTGCCAAAGCTCCGTGCCAAATACCCTACACATTTTGTTTTCGCTTCAAGACGTTGATAAAACTTCATGAAATATGATCAAACGCTCTTTTTTGTTATCTTTGTTAGTTTATTCGCGTATAATTCACG